AAAGTGGAAACTGGTGATTTAGTGCATTTTTGACGTGGTAATTGCTCATAGAAAACAACGAAATTTAACAAAAGTTTTTTGTTCATAACTTTTAAATGGTTAATAATATTATCTCACCCCCTCCGGAATGTTATTAGGGGGGCCGAAACGCGTCGTTTGGTACCCCTCCCGACTTTTCCGCACCTTTTTTAGGGGTTGTTACCCCACCCTAGAGAATTACCTTAAGTTTTTGTGTTTCAATTCTTTTTATACGAACGTCTGCTTCATGATTATGGGTATGTTTATGCAGAAAACAAAGCCTAAAAATATGTGCTACTCAAGTATGACTAAAATAAATAAATTTGTATACATTTTATTTCTAGTTATGGGGTACATATTTTTAGGCTTCGTTTTCTGCATAAAAATCCGCAGTCTATTCATGATATTAATGCAAACGAGTTAAATGATTTGACTGGTTAAATTTACCAACAACAAATGCATGCGATTTATCTTGTTTATAAACACGTTTTGTTCATTTAACTGGTTCAAGCCCATTTAACATGGTGTTATTATAGTATTATATCTTTTACATGAATTTGACATTTCACAAATTTGTATTTCTTTCATTCAATACCCACATCAAGCACAGGGGTCTAAAACAAAGAAGGAACCAAATAAAACTTATTTTACTTTGCAGCTTTCTTAGGACCAGTTTTTCGGGGGAACGGTAGTGGTTTAAACTCAGATTAGTCAATCAAATGTCAACCAGCTGTTCAATTTAAACGCAGTTTACTTGATCTAAGTTTAAACTGGCACTGAAAAACTGGCCCTTATACCATGTTCTGACCGACATAGAAAACATGTTTTCGTTGCTAAAACTAGTTTTCGACCTAAAACTAGCTTTCGACCTAAAACAATTGTTTTCGTCCATGTAAAATCTGTCAAACGAAAACCAGTTTTCGATGAGAACTACTTGAAAACTCACGTTGCACTCGTTCCAATCGGTGTCTTCACTAGTTTTTTCGATTATTTATCGAAGTCGAAGTCATATTTTATCATTTTTAATACGCCATTTCGGATTTATTGTTAATTGGCTGGCCAAAGTAAAATAATAATGAAAGTAAGAGGTTGCTAATGAAAAGAAAATGTGGGAAAAGCATTTTGGTTTTGTTTTTGTGTAGCAAAACTGCAATGCGAGGATGTAAGAAATGTCAACGAAAATACTAACAGCCGGTGTGAACAGCCTTCAGCCCACAATTCCAAAACTCGTTTTCAAAGTGTTTTCGTTGTCGGTCAGAACATGGTATTAATGGAAATAAATACTTAAATTCTAAAGAAAAGTCGCTAATTCCGCTCAGGTGCTGTTCTCCAGTTTAATTTTTAGCCTAGCTCTTAAGATCCTATCAGACGTGACAATGCAATATATTTCGAAAAGGCTATCAAATTGCAAAGTTTCAGAAAGCAGTTGCGTGAGCAGTCACACCTTGCATGTAAAGTGTCTTTCGGAAGAGATTTTTTATTTCCCGAAAGGCGAATTGCAGATTGCTAGCGAAGCACGAAATCGATTTGCGCTCTCTGAATTGCAGTCACATCTTGCAACTTTTATTTCTGAAACTGATTTCCGAAATGTGACAGCAAGGTCTTCTGGTTGTTCATACATCGAAATAAAATGTGTCTTTCTCAATTTGACAGCGAATTGCGTGGAATATTGGAAGTATTGCCACGTCTGACACGTTCTTTATGTGTACAATTTCTGATTTACACCACACAATTTGATTTTATGGATATTTTTTAAATAATATGAACATTATTAAAATTTTTTGTCGTTTGTTTTTTTTTCAGAACAACCATACGCTGGTGATGTATGTATGGAATATTTTTAAATGCTAGATATCACATTTTGTTTTTACCACCTTCGCAATAACACCCTCACGTTTTGGTTCTTTATGTAGTTATGATACGCATGTGCATGTGTATGCATTCAAACGTACTCATTAAGTACATTGTATGTATAGTAGTTTCATATTATATTATTTGTAGTTAGAAATACTTAATAAACTTGTTCGTTTCTGCGTTGTTACTTACATACGACGTTTCTGCCCACTATTTAGGTTGACTTTGGCTGTGTGTACATAACACAAACTTACATTCACAGAGGACGATAAGAAAATTACTAACTTGAAGTGTCCATTTTAAATGCGTTAATTTTATCCTTCAGCTGTTGGCATAGAGTTAGACCAACGGTAAACAACACAAGCACGTCATTGAGCCAACCCACAGAGCACTCAGCCTGTGTGGCCTCCATTTTCATAATGCCCTGCACGTTTAACAATTGATAAATCGCTATTATGAGTTTATGGCATTGTAAAAAGAAAGATATTGCTTGATCTTCTGGAAGATTAGGTGTGAGCGATTTCTGGAATATATATATATATAAAATTACTGGCTATTAAATTTGTATTCATATTTATGTTTATAGCATAATTCTACATATATTCGGCTCACCATATTTCGCCCTTTCATAAGTTCGTCGATTGCTTTCTTCTTTGGTATTATGAGACTAGTGCGACCTCGCTGAAGAGCACCTATCAATTCACCTATGATTTGCAGCACCTCCTCACGAGATCTGGGGAAATATTTAATGAAAAATCATAGAATAATAAGCATTACCGTGCTAGGCATCTAAACAAAAATAGCATAACATTTTATTTAATTAAATTTACATGATGCAATTTGGTTTTTGTTATTTAATGGCCTTATAACAAATATAATCAACAGTTTTTATTGAGCTTGAGGCCGTTTTTAATGAAAAACGTGTGAGCTTCTGTCGTAACTACAGGAGGGCCGCCAACTATATATGTAGCTATGACGGGCCGTACAGGGTATAAAAGTGTGGCAAAAACTGCCGAATAAAAAAATATAAGTGCCAAATAGGTGCCATTATTTTTAATCGAAAGGAGATTACTTCTTTCTATCCAATTTAGCAATAAGTAAGAACGTCATTTCTTAAACAAAATCGCAATACCAAAATAAATTGTGTTGTATAAAAACATTAGAAACTAAAAAGTTTGTGCGAAATTGAAAAGTTAGGTGGTATTTGAAGTAAAAAAAATGGCACAGTTTGAGCCAGGTTGGCAGTCCTGCCTGCAAATGACCGGCACTTTCGTCGCCGCTACCCCGCCCTTGCGAAACCGAGTTGTATAGTACTTTACAATTATTTTCTCCAGTGTTTGAAAGATCTCAACTGTGTTGGCGTAAGCAATCGTCGAAGTTCGTTAAGAAAACATGGTGTTTTCACCACATAACACAGTGATTTTTGATACCCATAATTTAAAAAATTTGTATATTCACATGATGTGATGCAGTGGTTCTTCTTTCGAGCCCAGTTTCCGACCAACATCAAAAAATAAAAAACAAACAAGTTCTTTCTAGTAGCGGTCACCCCTAGGCAGGCTATGGCATACCTCCGAATGTATTCTGCCATTAAAAACAGCTTTTCATAAAAATACAAACCACGTTCGGAGTCGGCGTAAAACTTAAGGTGAAGACATCAGGGCGCACGCCAAAAATCGGAGAAGAAGCTCTGCCAAGCACGAACGTATTGTGTAAACGCTAATCTATTATTATATTCATAAGAATCAGGCTCACAGAGGTTTTTGAGGTCGCTGAATTTGAATCTGAAGTCAAAATAACAAAAAAAAAACAAATGGCCGATCCAATAAGGGCTAGCCCAGCGCTTGCCCACATCCCGAAGTGGAGCAAAGGGCTCGGGTTATATTTATCTCGAAGATAGGAAAAGAGAGACTACTCTCTCGCCAAGTCCTTCAGACCGATAAGTCTAACCTCCTTTCTGCTAACAGTACTCTGTACCTTCATCGACAGCTCTCACGTTGGTGTTGTGGTTGTGCAGGAAAGTGTCCGCAAATGCATAGCTATGCTACTTAACAAAAGTATGTATAGCTGAAACGGACATCGGGTATAGCGTGGTACAGCTACAAACTACAAAAGGTTGCCCGCAGAGAGGAGTTTTATCCCCTCTCTGGAGCTTAGTTATGGACGCACTCTTAAGAGATTTTCACTGACATTGGCATCCGCTGAATAAAACCACAAAATCGATATTTTTGTATAATGGGCACGAAATGGGGACCACATATAAAATGCGGCCGCTGATATGTAAACCAAAAAAAAAAATTTTTTTAATTATCTCAACTATGTAGTTCATATTGAAAATACACCATTTGTGCTATAGTTAATGTTCTATTGCGGACCGAGCATCCTGGAGCACAGGAAACCCCTACACCAAACCCGGAGCTGAAGTTTGGTACACTGACGGATCAAAACTTGAAGATGGAAAAACTGGAGCTGGTATATTGGGGCCGAATTTTAAAAGATCGATACCAATGGGCAGCTACCCCACCATTTTTCAAGCAGAGATTCATGCGATCGATATCTGTGGCAGAGAATGCCTCAGAAGAGGCACATCCTCTAAAAACATCTGCATTATGTCGGACAGTCAGGCTGCCTTGCTAGCACTGAGGTCCCACATAATAACATCCAAACTAGTGTACGACTGCCTCAACACCCTAAACGGTCTTGGAAGCAAGAACACAGTATTACTGGGCTGGGTGCCGGGGCACGAGGGCCATGACGGCAATGAACAGGCGGACCGCCTAGCAAAACACGGAGCTACCACACTATTCTATGGCCCGGAACCCTTCTGCGGGCTCACCAAAGCCCACTTAAGGGAGGTCATAAACAAGTGGGTCGACAAAAAATTCGAAAGGCACTGGAATGAATGTCCGGGGCAAAGACAAGCTAAGCGGTTCATCTGTCCATCACAAGAAGCTTCAAAAAAGCTCATAAATCTAGGCAGGGAGGACCTTCGAACTCTCACTGGGTACTACACGGGACATTGTTCCCTGCGTTATCACCTCAGTAAAATGAATCTTTCAGACACGAGCGTCTGTCGCTTCTGTGAGATGGACGAAGAAACGCCAGAACACATCCTTTGTGAATGTGTTGCTCTCGCTAGACGCAGACTCGCTCACCTAGGCGGTACAACACTTAATCCATTCGAAATATGGAACAAAAAGCCCACCGAAGTGCTAGCTTATATTAAAAGCCTTCATATATAGGGTAAAAGGCCACGCACAATAGACCACCTTAGAGGTCGCAGTGCTCAAGGCTCATAATAATAATAATAATAATATAGTTAATGTTCTAGTAAAGGACGAGAATAATTCTCATGAGGAAACACTTCGCTGTCATTGTCATAGTCTACGATGTGAGTAAATATCCATTCTCATAAAAGCGAGTGCCTATACTCACGAGAATTATTCTCATCGTACACAAGGACGTCTATTCTGAGTGCCGACTGGTAGTGGATAAACGACTATTATTCGATTATCGCTTTTCCATGGTATTGTGATCGTCGTTGTCTCGTTCAATAAGTCAGTGTGAATAAATTATAATATATAATAATATATATATGTTATAATATATATATATTATAATAACTATATATATATTATAAATTATATCACCCTTCTACAAATAAACGGTTGAAGAAGGATGAGCGACTAAAAACTATTCATAGTCGCTTATTCAACGAGAAGTCCACATTCACAATACCATGGAAAAGCGATAATCGAATGATAGTCGTTTATCTGATACTAGTCGACACTCGCAATAGGGGTATTATATTATTTATATGTACATATATACATATATTTTAAACGGCCTTATTTTAATGGTGAGGAGATCGGTTTAAAAACAGCATAACTATATGTAGAAGGAATGGGAAATTGCATTTAGGTGGCAATTTTGATTTATAAGGTGCTTAATGATTATTACTATACGTTCTTTATATGAATGTGTTGCTCAGTTTTGTACTTACTTGAAAGCATAACTACCTCCAACGTTATCAATATGAGTAATGGCTTGTTGTAGATGATTTGCTGCATCTTGTACTTGTTGCAATTTCCACGGTGCATCAGGCGTGATGGAGGTACGTTGTACTTGGCTTGAAGCGCGTTTAAGCTTGTAACTAATGTCCTAAAAGTATAGGATTTAAGTTACATATTTAACTTCAAATTTTTGTAATAACTACAGCTTGGGTGATGCTATCGCCGGTGAGAGTAACGGAACACTTAAGCTGATCCTGCGCTGCCATCAACACAAACTTTTCAGTTCGCTTACCCTCATTGTCATGAAAGCATGGCACCGGAAATCGACGTGCACATTCCTAAAAGAAATGTAAAGCAAATGCATGTACATATGTAGATATGTAATAATTCAAGCTTGAAAATAATGCATACCACTAATATTTCGCGCAGCTTCCTAAATATTGCGTGAACTTCATCTCGCATAACCCATTCAAATTCGATTTGCTGCAAGTGAATTAAAAATATAAATAAATGATTCCGTAAAAGCAAGCCGAATTTGTTTTTAAATACAGTAGGATCATGCTAGGATTTATTATATGTATGTACGTATATACATATGGGTGGCAAATGTCTTTAATCCTTGTCTAGTCCTTACTAAACGTTCACGAGGGACTCATTGCGATTTAGCAGGGATTAGACAAGGATTACATACATGTGCCACTGAAGTAGTAAGGTTTTTTAGTTTTGAGTTTTGTAGTTATTGCAGAGGTCCATGGATATGCACTATTGAGTTAAATACCATTCCACCGGTGGACATGGTTAACTTTGATACAATACCAATTAGGGCACACTAATTTACACATTAACAAAAAGGCACTAAATGAAATACATATATGGACGCTACTAATACACTTCTTGAATTATTTTCTTCAGTCCTTGTATAGCGTTTTATTTTACTTTATTGATTATTTTTCCTACAATGCGAAAATTGTTCCATTAACCAANAAGAGTCAAATGAGTTAGTTGAATGAGCTGACTCCTTAAAGTGAGTTGGAGTCATTGAGTCAACTCCTATAAATTTGCTGAGTTACCCACCCTTAGTATAGGTGACGTTTGGCCATTGTTGCCAGAACNATATATATATATTATAAATTATATCACCCTTCTACAAATAAACGGTTGAAGAAGGATGAGCGACTAAAAACTATTCATAGTCGCTTATTCAACGAGAAGTCCACATTCACAATACCATGGAAAAGCGATAATCGAATGATAGTCGTTTATCTGATACTAGTCGACACTCGCAATAGGGGTATTATATTATTTATATGTACATATATACATATATTTTAAACGGCCTTATTTTAATGGTGAGGAGATCGGTTTAAAAACAGCATAACTATATGTAGAAGGAATGGGAAATTGCATTTAGGTGGCAATTTTGATTTATAAGGTGCTTAATGATTATTACTATACGTTCTTTATATGAATGTGTTGCTCAGTTTTGTACTTACTTGAAAGCATAACTACCTCCAACGTTATCAATATGAGTAATGGCTTGTTGTAGATGATTTGCTGCATCTTGTACTTGTTGCAATTTCCACGGTGCATCAGGCGTGATGGAGGTACGTTGTACTTGGCTTGAAGCGCGTTTAAGCTTGTAACTAATGTCCTAAAAGTATAGGATTTAAGTTACATATTTAACTTCAAATTTTTGTAATAACTACAGCTTGGGTGATGCTATCGCCGGTGAGAGTAACGGAACACTTAAGCTGATCCTGCGCTGCCATCAACACAAACTTTTCAGTTCGCTTACCCTCATTGTCATGAAAGCATGGCACCGGAAATCGACGTGCACATTCCTAAAAGAAATGTAAAGCAAATGCATGTACATATGTAGATATGTAATAATTCAAGCTTGAAAATAATGCATACCACTAATATTTCGCGCAGCTTCCTAAATATTGCGTGAACTTCATCTCGCATAACCCATTCAAATTCGATTTGCTGCAAGTGAATTAAAAATATAAATAAATGATTCCGTAAAAGCAAGCCGAATTTGTTTTTAAATACAGTAGGATCATGCTAGGATTTATTATATGTATGTACGTATATACATATGGGTGGCAAATGTCTTTAATCCTTGTCTAGTCCTTACTAAACGTTCACGAGGGACTCATTGCGATTTAGCAGGGATTAGACAAGGATTACATACATGTGCCACTGAAGTAGTAAGGTTTTTTAGTTTTGAGTTTTGTAGTTATTGCAGAGGTCCATGGATATGCACTATTGAGTTAAATACCATTCCACCGGTGGACATGGTTAACTTTGATACAATACCAATTAGGGCACACTAATTTACACATTAACAAAAAGGCACTAAATGAAATACATATATGGACGCTACTAATACACTTCTTGAATTATTTTCTTCAGTCCTTGTATAGCGTTTTATTTTACTTTATTGATTATTTTTCCTACAATGCGAAAATTGTTCCATTAACCAAGTATGTACAACTTCGTTAGGCACACATATTATTAGCTATGCTCGTTAGCATATTTGTTGGTCATTGTACTTACGAATATTTCATATGAAATCATTAAAAAAAATTTAATATAATTTTTAATTATTAACTTACGAGATTTTTAATTTCTTCGACTTCGGTGTCTTCCATTGTTTATGTATAGGTGACGTTTGGCCATTGTTGCCAGAAAAATATTACCAAATCCCTCAAAAACAAATGCAGAATCCCCAAAATCCGTACAAATAACTCGGAATTTTCTTATTACAGATNTATTAACTTACGAGATTTTTAATTTCTTCGACTTCGGTGTCTTCCATTGTATATGTANAATGCAGTTGGGCTCCAAATCTCAAAAAAAAAAAGATATATATATTGGTATCGATAGAGATGATTGAGCTGAGTATAACGGTATACTTCTTTTTTTGGCAAACAACAAGAACAAAAAATATCAAAGGTAAAAGTTCAAAATAAGCAATTTTTGAGATCCATATTTCTTAAAAACGAATGGATGGATCTTGAAAATTTTGATCTCATATAATAGGAAATTTGATTCCCTTTAATTTGGTTTCTACGTTCTTTGATATAACTGTTTTTAATTGGGAAACTTATATGAACCTGAAGAAACTTTGGTAAAAGTGCACTTTAGCGAAGGTAGGTCAAAATGGACGGAAAAAATTGGAGAGGGGTATCAATCGACGCGTCTTAACGCCAATAATAACAATCCGAGACAGGAAATTAAGATTTTTAATTAATTGAAAAGTTATTTGCAAAAAACACTTTCCGCACTATGTTTCGATGAATTTCACACAAATGAAAGGAAGAAGTGAACTTAATTTAACACGTATTTATTAGTTTTTATACATTTGTGATGTTTTAAGTGTACACTTTCGCGAAATTCTGTATTTAATAGCAATATTCCAATGATGAAAATCCGCACAACAATCTTGGGTAGTTAATATAAATAACATGGAGAAAAACTAGTGTTGCCCTCTATTAAAAATAAAATGGAACTAAATTGCAGCTGCCACTCTATTAAAAATGTTTTTGTGCATCGAACACCTTTCTGCGTAGGCGACCTTCGGCCGCGCTTAGGGATTATAACCCTCAGGCAGTAGAATTCTCCTTTCTGTGTTCCAAAGAAGGGGGCTGAACACCTTTTGCAGAGAACACCTTTCTGCGTAGGCGGAAAGTGCAAGTGTTTTTTGCAAATAACTTTTCAATGAATTAAAAATCTAAATTTCCTGTCTCGGATTGTTATTACTGGCGTTAAGACGCGTCGATTGATACCACTCTCGAACTTTTTCCGTCCAACGAAGAGAACGGAGAAAACCGCGAAATTGTTGAACGCATGAAAAATCATTTTTATTATGCAAATTCTTCTATAAATCATGCCGTTGTGTTAAATTATTCTTTATCTTTTGTGTACACACGTTGTCACAAGTGAAAATGAAGAAAGTTGCAGTAAAAAGCCACCACCAAATTGTAAACAACGAAGAAATGTAAACAAACTCAACTTTTCAACTTTTCCTAAATGCGATTCTAACGGGCTAGTCTCCGGCCCGCGTGATCTTGTCTTTTTGGTTCATGGTACAAGCTCGAGTATTTATAGGAATCACAAATGTCAATGCAATACACAGGGTTGTAGAGCTTCATTAAATACAGAGTTGCAAAACAACGTAAAATTGAATTACAGGGTTGTTACATGAAATGCATATACAGAGTTGCATTACAAAATATAAATACATGTTTACACAAATAAACTATTAATGAAAGAGGGCCGCTTCAGTCTCCCCCTAGGAAGCTGAAGTCGTCCCGATGAAGCATCCTATGTGGTCTTTCGGGGTCGTCCTCTATGCCGTATTATGTTAATGGGACCTTCGTATTCGTCACTGGAATTACGATATGGTACTAGTGAAGATGCATGATATGTGCCCAAAGGATGTTGCAGGTTGTCCTCGTGAGTAATCACGTAGGAAGTACAACCCTGTCTACCGATGATAACGTAAGGCCCGTCTCGTCGTGGTGCGAATTTGGACGTTACACCCTTGGTGGTATTGCTTAGGACATGTGTGGTGACCAGAACCTTAGAGCCATTTTCCAAATCTTCCTGATCACGCCGTCGTAGGTTAGAAGCACGCTTGTTAGCATCTTGCTGCTTCTGTTCACATTCACGAGCAGCTTGGAACACTTCAGTGAGCGTGGCTAAGTATGGTGTGATTTCGGCAACAAAGTTCTCCGACTGAATGATTGACCTTAAATCATGCTGGACATCGTCTATAGCTCTTGGTTCACGCCCGAATGCAAGAAACGCTGCAGAATACCCAGTGTTTTGACAGCGAGTGGTATTCATAGCGAATCGTATGGCTGGGAGCTTTTCTGCCCAAGTGCGATGCTGCTTACCGACCAATATCGCCAACTGCGCCTTCATGTCTCGATTCTTTCCCTCCACCGGATTCGCCTGGGGATGATATACCGGTGTGAACACCTGACTTATTTCAAGGCAGAATGCAACATTCTGGATCACTGCGGATACAAACTGCACTCCATTGTCGCTGATAATTCGTCTTGGGACTCCGTATCGCAGGAATACCTCATCTATCAGAGTTTTCGCACAATTTTCCGCAGTAGCCTCCATTAACGCGAAGAGCTCCACCCATCGACTTGCTACGTCCTCAACAATATATATCCACTGCATCCCATTGGCATCTGGTGGCAGTGGCCCAAACAGATCGATGACTAAGCTGACCTTCACGTATATCCTTGGCTCCTCGTCGCGTTTGCTTCATGCAACCAGTCGTCAATTCGCGGCAGCGGGTACCGATCTGGTTTGGTTATAGCATTCAGCTCTCTATAGTCGACGCAAATCCGTATGCCGCCTGACTTCTTTGGTACTATTACTACGGGAGCTGCCCATGGTGATTCGCATTCCACGATAACTCCAGTATTGAGCATTTTATCGAGCTCTGACTTCAACAGATCTTTACGTTGTGGTGATAGGCGGTATGGCGGCAAGGCAATTGGAGGATGCCCGCCCGTGTCGATGTGATGTGTAGCATACGGTTTGCAGACGTCGGCTCTTTAAAGAAGTCAGCATGCGTGAGTAGCAATGCTTCAAGTTCCATCTTCTGTTTCATCGTCAGCTCGTAACCAGCTCACTGTGGTGACAAACTTACTTCGAAGGAGTACAGTGGGAAGAAATTTTCATCACAAAATTTCTCGTAATCGGTATTGCTGGATTTGGTTCGCATTGGGGGTCCAAACAACCGAGAAGACTTCTCGGGTGTCCTTTCGCCAACCGAAGGGTCTATTTTTCCTGGAGGCTATTAGCAACGCTGGCGAAATTCGGAACAAATCGGCGGTAGTAGGTGCATAGCCCAAGAAAACAAATTCTTCTATAAATCATGCCGTTGTGTTAAATT